ATGAGGGGCAATGGTTTTAAATTAAAAAAGGGGAGATTCAGGCTGGACGTGAGGAAGAAATTCTTTACAATGAGGGTGGTAAAACACTGGCACAAGTTGCCCAGCAAGGGGGCAGATGACCCATCCTTGGAGACATTCAAGGTCAGATTTGATGTGGTTCTGGGCAACCTCATCTGCTTAAAGATGTTCTTGGTCATGGCAGTGAGAAAGGACTACATGACTTTTAAAGGTAGCTTCCAGCCTACTATTCTGTGATTCTACCACATAACTATGGGAGAATTTCATATTGAAATTCTAACACATGCAAAGGTATCAGAAATCAGAACTACCTGACCTAGTCAGAGTGAGTAAACAATTCTGGACAAAAGTTTTACCTTCTAAAATCAGACAGACAATACCACCCTCATGGCAGTGCGGTCTCTTAGCTCAGGCCTTAGCAGAAACCTACTGGATCAACACAAATTACAGACTCTACAGCATTATCCCATCACTGTATCAAAAAAGACCTTTTGTGCTCTGCCCTGCTTTTAAATAGCTTTGTTAGATGAATTAATATTTCTGCCTCTTTCTTGTAATAAAAACCCACACACTTTGAAAGTACAACTGATAATATTTCTCTCAAAACCAAGCTCTGATTGCAGCATTTATGTTTACGTATGTACATAAAACAGCACGTAGAAGGCACAATCCGTGGAGCTGCATCCTCACACACACTCACATTATGCTAATCTGCAGACACTTAATCAGGAAGGCTAATACATTACAAACACAATTAATGGGCAGAAGAACCAGAGGAGGTTTCGACCTTTTTTAGCAAGGGCTTGAAGCATAAAAATGTTCTGATTATACATGAGCCCTATCCAAAATTGCAAATTATATGTCCACAATGCATAAAATACAGTCAATTTCAAGACACATCTAGGTAAAAACTGAAATGATATTGAGCCACTGGAGCAGCTCTTCAATTGATCCAGCATCTCATTGTATCTTAAATATGGATAAATTCAATTTGATCAGGCATTAGCATTGATTAACTCCAAGTTAAACTAAGTATCTGTCCAGAAAAGATGCAACTAGAAAAGAAAGTCATGCAGAACATAGCATCCCCATAATAATCAGCAAGTTAACAAGAGGGGATAAAACCTTAGTCCCAGCAGAATTAATGCAAAACTCCAATCAACCACAATTCTCCATCTAAAACATTTGATCATGGTTTATGATAGTAGGGAAGTCTGTCCCTGGGCAAACAGAGGCAAGCTGAAGAATCATCTCCAGAAAGTTCAGATGTTTTAATTACACCTTAGCAATTATTACCTGGATGAACTGGCTTGAGCAAAAGCAGCAAAATGCACTCTGCTCCCTAAAAAGCTCAAAACCAAACCAACAGAACCTCATAATTCAGACTTTCTGCCTTGCTGCATATCTCATCTTTATCAGTTTAGAGCTTGGGTGGAGGGATCCAGCGAGAAAGTTCTGAGTCAGTGCTGAAAATCTGAAACTACAGCTTCTCTCAGCAAGCTGGGGACAAGTGCTAAGTGGCCAAAGAATGGTTCTTTCCTCTGAAAGGCTTTGACCCTTTCAATCATAAAGCATGGCCTCTCTCCAGGGGAGATCCCTGGTTGAAGACTTCATGGCCTATTGCTAACCCCACTTTCTGAAGCCAGGGCATTCACAGCCAAAAAGCAGCTGGGCCAGCACTTGGCTACTGCCATAGCAAACCCACAGCCACCCAACACATCAAAGTGTTTTAAAATAGTCATGCTTCCCTGTGGTCCTCCCTGGAGGCCCAAGGAGGGAAGTTTCTGCTCTGAGAGCCTGGCCAGGGCTCTGTGATTATAACTGGACAGAAGAGTTTAACAGTTGCCTTCATAAATTAATACATTCACTAATACTTTTTCTTCAATAACAAATTCAGATATTTGTTATCCCTGTTTTTCTTTGATTATAGCCTCCAAATTTTTCAGTGGCAGCTATCATGGTAAGGAAGAGAGGTTTGGAAGAAAAAAGATACTCCAATTTTGTACCATCTGTTAAATGACTTCCAATCTGAGAGAACAGATGCTGGACTTCACTATCTGGTTTTGATTGATCTAGAAGTATTTTGTTAATTGGGACTAAAAACTACAGCTAAGACAAAATAAGCATCAGAGAAGATATGAAGGAATAGCTCAAATTCTTCTCAAGCTACCTGATCACTCAGCAAAGATTTTGTAATTTTGGTAATCATCATATGGCATGAAAAAAAATTAAAATCTTCCTTTGAATGAATGGGGTAACATCTTAAAAACAGAGTATGTGCTCTGCTTAGATTCTATAAATACTGTGAATGGTAATGGTTCAAATGGTTCATCAGCTTCACCGTGTTCACCTGAACTGGGTAGCAATGTTCTTCTATTACTGCATGTTTGCTGTTCTATTTTAGGCATTACTTATCATACCCTCATAAAAATAAATCAGTGCTGTCTTCAGAGATTCAGATGATAATCACCTCTCAAGAAAGTGATCAACTACTGGAGAACCAGTATGTACCGTCTAAGCACACAATCTAACTGCAACTGTTTCTACAGAGAACCAAACTGCCAGTTCTACATGTGCCAAACATCAAAACGCCAGAAGTGCCAAAACAATTATGGTAATTATGGAAGTCAATTTCAATTACAAAATGATTGCTAAGATAATTGGAGAATAAATACAGAGACTTCATTTTTACTACACACACTGAAAATTGTTTCGTCTACCCACAGCTCTGGTTTTTCTAACTTGCACGTGACTGCAAGGAAGCAGTTTAATGTGAAAAAACCCTCATGTTTGTGGCAAAGGAAATGCAGTATTAATTTTACATTTCCAGCAGCAATATATGGAACAAATCTTCTCTAAATATTGCTTTAACACCTGCATGAAAGAGCACAGCTATATTCAAAATGCAGCGTTCGGTTGTTTGTGCCATGTTTTTTCATTTGTCAGGTATTGATTCTTCCCCGTGTTTTAAAACAATCTGTACCTAATTTAACCTATGTTGTTTAAGCCTTCTATGCTTCCCAAAACATTACGCCAAAGCATATTTCAGCATGATTGAGAATGAGGGGTTTATAAATGGCACTGTTGCAAAAATAAGAGCTGGTGTAATGTATTTTCTGTAACAGATTTTTACTTTAACAATGAAAACTTTCAACCCTCTGGGCCTTCCCCCTGGCCCTTACATGGCATTTCAAAAAGACCCAAGAGCCTTCTCCACAGTTAAGTGTCCAGCTTTCACTGTTACCCTGCAGCTGACAGGAGGATACTCTCTATTTTAGGCATAGAGAATCCCTTTCAGCCTAGAGGATCTTTGTGCACTGATGCAAGTCAGTGAAGCATGGTGAGGGTTTAGCTTCCAGGTCTAACTGCAATCCTCATATAATGGTATAAAATGCACTTGTCACCACTAATACTGTATTTGGAGAAAACCCAACAAACCAACAAGAACCTATCTTCCTCTCCTTTATGGCCAAAAATAAAACATTCAAAACATGACCTGGAATGCAACAAATTTCACCATTTTTTCCACTTTTTTTTTTTCCCATGGTTATAATACACCAGAGTTCAGCATCACACATTGACGTACTCACTTTACACATCTCAACTTTGCAAAGAGAGAAAGATCTGCATTGTTAACCAGGAATTCTTCTTTGTACTTTTATTTATCAGACTAAGTCAGTATTTCATTAATATGTGAGTGCTTTCAGCAAACATCAAGAAAAACCTCTCAGCTCAAATAGGTCTGACAAATGACATGGGACTTGGACAAAGTTCAGCTCCCTGTAACACCATAATGTACATGAAGAGTCACTAGAAGGTTTAAAATTACACCACTTAGCAAATAACACAAGCCATTGTAAAATAAGAGGCACACTAAATATTTAGATGCACATACATTTGGCCACGTAAAGAGAAATGACAGTAACTAAAATCCTGTGCTGCCCTTCAGAAGACCAGTTAAGACTGAGATCCGCTGAACATCATTTATACACAATGTGACTTTCTATTTACTTACTTCACTCACATAAACTTAACCAGAAGTATGATCTTTAATACATCTTCAGCTGAGAAGGTTTCCACCACCAGCATGTGTTGCTGATCCCCAGTTATTTCCTCTTGCTTCCTAATGTGCCAATACAGCCATCTGTGGAATTTTACTATAAACTAGTTGCGATTTAGTGCAGAAGCAGATCTGAAATCTTTCTAGGCAAACATCAGGTCTATGATAAAGCTTTATTCTGCTCGATGCACTTATGTATCTCAGCTGACATTGACAGAGTATAAAGAATTTCATCTTTTTATAAGTAACATAGCAACACCTTCCCCACGCAAACACAAAGCTTCAGGCCTTAAAACTCAAAAAATGTGCCACAAGCATGACAAAGACATTATCATTTTTAGATTTAATGCAGACTGCAATAACATCTAATTAAGAGTTACTACATCCTCTCTAGCAGTGTCTTTGCACTAATATTTAGTAATAACTATTTGTTGAAAACAAATTTGTCTCCAAAGGGAAGTCAGGCTGCAAAACAGAAAAGCAAGAGAAAGAAGAGACCATGGAGGATAGTAGTAGGGTGCTAAAGGAAGACAGAAATGCCATGAGAAAACAAGGGAAGTGGAAAAGCATGGAAAGACAGATGATGCATATTAACAGGGAAATACATTTTTCCCACTACACAATGGTAACTGGACAAAATGATACTGAACAAATACATAATTGCTAAAAGCTCAGTTCATATTCCAGTGCCTTATGTCACCAATGAGCTTTATGTCTTATTTTTAAAAGAGAGAACCGCTGTTAACTGACTGTATAATCTAAACCAGCCATTTTGTCCAGAAGAAATTCTCTCCTTTACAGAAAATGAGTATGATGCACTTGTTTTAGAAACAAGTACAGACATAGCTTATAAAACTGTTGTATACCAAAAGGTAAGAACAGGTTTTGCCCTTCAAAAAAAGGTGAATTACATGACACCTACTGCTACAACATGCTTGAGACTGTGGTCGCTGGGATGAGAAGCACTGGGGTGGAAATCAGCAGGTGGGCCCAAAGATGGATCACTGCTCCTTCGAACTAGAAGTGGTGTACCTAAGAGACAAAATAAAGAGCAATGGTTCAAGGGTGCTACAGGCACACAGGGCAAATGTGGTTTAACTAAGACATGCATACAGTGCTTAAATATAACTATCTGTGGCAATATCCACCTGGTAAATTACTAGCTCTAGTGAGGTTCTTCCATTTATTATTTATTGAGCTAAAGAAACGAGAACATTTTAAGCTCTATATAGAGTTTCACCAATGAGTTGCTAAATTAGGTGAAAACTGCTGATGAACAGTAGTAAAAGGCACCTTCTTAGAAAAATAAGTATTTGCACATATCTGTGACCACATGCACCATCAAGTTCTGACAAAGAAATCATATGCTTGGTCTAAGGAATAACTAAACACAGGAAGAACTGGACTGCTACTGTTTGGTTCTGCAGCTGGTAGTGCTTACTTAACTGAACCAAACTAAATGCCTAAAGCCTTTTGTTCCACACACTAAGGACATGTCTCACCGTGATGTTTTACATTAACCCATCAAACTCACAATCTCATCTTGAACTGTTCCTTACTTTCTCCTATTGTATGCCCAAAAGCTGTAAAGAGCAACTGCTTGTCTCTCCCATACCAATCAGTTATACAAGCCCACACTTAAACTGTATGGAAGTTTGCTCTGAGTATGATGGCAAGACCATGTATTTAGAGTCATAAATCTTATTTCCATAAGCTCCCAAAATGCAGCAGTCCACCATCACTACTTCTGTACTGTCTTGACCTGAGGCATATAAATGACAGATAAGGCACAGGTTTTTGGGTACAGACAGCTAAAGGGTACCTGGACAACTCCCTATATATTTAATATATTACATGCTTTGGACTGGCTCTGCAGAGACAAACCTAAATAAGGATACAGGAGAAGAAAGGGAAGAGATGTTATTCACAGCAGATCTGCCTCCCACTACCAACTCCGAGGATTCCCAGGGAAGAGATGTAGGCAGTTGCAGTTGTTTCAGAGAAGCTGTAGACTAAACAGCTTTCTCTTGCATGCATCTCCAATTAGACTCACCAGCTATTCATGTCTATTCACACGCTGTCTGGGAACAACCTTAAAGACCAGTCAGCAGCTTCTAGCAACACAGCCATCCAGTTAGGTATAGAACACTCTCTGCAGAACTTGCAGGTGGAGTGAGAGGGAAAACATCTTTAGTAATATGAGAAAAGAATTTCTCACATTATCCAAAATAGAATTAAACAAAAATTACTTTTTCCCACGTCTTTCCAAAATAATTTATGCATAGGCAAAGAAAAAAAATGAAGAGAACATTGGTCCGAGACAGTCATTTTTCAAATGTTGCAAGTGAGTGAAAATAAGATTATAACTGTCAGTTATAATATTAATTATAGTGGCTGGGACCAATGGCAGCCATAATTACTAGATCTATAATAGAAGTTGAATATGCAACAGTTTCCTCATTAGAGATGCGCTAACAAAGCTGGAGTCATTGTACCACATTCATTCTCAGCACAACTTTCTAATTGTAGCTGGGATAAATACCAGCACCTGATGCTGAGGAACAACCAGAGAAACAAATGCTCTTACTCTTCCTCACAGTGAGCAACAGATTTTTTATGCAGGTAATCCCTTCCATATCCACTCGTACAGAAAATCAGTAAGACAAGCAAAAGTAAGACTTAAATTTGTGTCCTGATATTGAAGGAATGTTGAAATATCAAAAGGTGAATGTTGGGTTTTGTTCCAAGTGATAATAATCCTGATGCCAAGAGCTATGCATGTTTTTATGAGAAGATTCTGAAGAAAGCGATTGATAACCCACTTTGTATGTTTCATGTGCTCTTCCAAAGGTGGTAGTAGGTGAAAAGGAACCAAATCTCTCCACTAAAATATTCCTGCTCTTCACATGGTGCAGAAAAGAATTTTTTCCTCTCTAAGCACATTTGATAAGAAAGTGTGTGCAAACTGAAGCCAAAGTGTTGGATTTTTTAAGTTACTCCCTTCTGTAAGATAAATAATTATTCCTTAAAATAATTTTTCCTGTGTATATTGTGAACGACCAAAGTGTTTCCAGTGACCTGTGCCCAATTTTCAGTCTCTCTTCAACACAGCACTTTGAAACAGATGCTTGAGACACTTTTGTGTGATTCAGCATAATTTAATATCCAACTCCTTTGACATAAACGTAAACAGCACAGAGAAATACTCTTGCTAAACTATCAGAAAGTGCTTTATATTGGTACTTTTATATGCAAAACTTTCATAATTCAGTGAGCCCAAATTCTAAGTAAAACATACTGTTGCTTGTATTCTTCAAGGCCATTATCCCAGCCCCTTTTCTCATTTCTGTACCCCTTTTTCTACAAGGAGAGACCACCAGTAATTCAAAGAGAGTAAAAAAAATTCCCCACAGTCAACTAAAGAAGCCAAAGATGGCTGGGGGCACACAGACAGGGATGACACATCCCCAGAATCCACACTCGCTCCTCCTCCCAAAGTCCACGCTCTGAAATTAGGTTTCTCCTTTTCCTGTCTTCTATAACCAACTCCTCATTTCTCTCTCATTCCTCTGGCTGAAAGATGAAGTCTTCCATCACTGTGACTACTGGAAGGCAGGACTCTCTTTGTTCCAAGGTCTCCCAGCTGCCACAGCAGCTGAAGAAAGAAGATGTCTCCTGCATCACAGTATTATATAAGTCTTGTCTAGTAAGACAGGACCCTACTTCAGCATTTCTGTCTGTTCCCTGTACCGACTGCTGCAAGGCGCTGATTTTACCACATTCCCTTGTTCTCAGTTTTGAAGGTCTCCTTTCACTTGCCTTCTGCCACTGCTTTCCAAAAAACACTGACGCAAAATTACATGCTCCAATTCCTGGTTTACTGCTGTCCAAACTCTGAAAACAAAGTTTGCAGGAGCAATGGGATTAGAGGAAATACTGCTTTCATGTTTGGGAAGATGGCCTTGAAGAGATTTGGTTTCTTTCTATTCCTGCAAGGCTTTGCTTATTGCTATGAGGATAGGAAATTTATGGTGCTCATTTTGAAGTCTTCCCTCCTTGAACAAAAACAACTGGACTTTCTGACCACTGTCTCCAAGCCTTTCTCTTTTCTCCCAGCTTGCTGAAAATTTTAAGGCCCTACGGAGCATTTTCTTGTTGAAGAGAAAATTAGAGTCTATCTTCTTAATTTTTTAAAAATGTATTTATGAACACATAACATCATTTCTCATACAGAGATATGACATAACATCTCTGGGAATTAAGTCAACTGCAGTCTTTAGCTGCAATAATCCAAAACAATCCCTCTGGCCCTTATTGTTTTCCATGCATACACCACAAAGACAACAGGAGTAAGAAAACAACCTTTTATTAGACAAAAGTAAATTGAATCAAAATGCCCTCTCTAGTAGGGCAAAACAAATAGTAAGCAAGATTAAAGACCTGAGAAGAAGTGAGAAGGTCCCTTTTTACAGGGAGAACACCTGATCCTCTTTCAGGAGACAGATTGTTAGCAGCTCCCTGAACTAACCAACTCCCCTTCATTTCCCCTCAACCCCTGTAAGGCTCAGGGCTGCTCCCTGCCATATGAACACCTTTCCCTGCCACTCAGTGCATCCCAGCCCAAGCTTCTCTTGCAGTCTCCTTTCTTCTCAGCCTCTTCCTGCCTCTTCTGTAGTGCACATGCATGCTCCCTTGAACTCAGAAAGAGAGAAGGATCCCCAGATCCCAGGAAGCCAACTCATGAGTCAGACCATGTCTGTTATACACACATACATTAAATTTGTCCATCACTGTCTTCCTTAGACATGGATAAAAGGAAGAACCATCACTGATACCATTTACTACATACTATAGACAATTACACATGTTTACTTAAAGAGATTGTCATTGATTTTCTTCTGTTGAGAAACAGAATGTTGCCTTTTTCCTGTTGCTTTCCTTGTGTCATGCTCTGATTTTCATGTTATTGTACTCACGCTCTTAAGTTTATGCTGAACATTTATAACAGCGTAAATTCAAACAGAAAATTCATCTTTTCCCTCAAATCATGATACACAGAAAAACTCCTTTCTGCATACCAAGTTGATCATACAAACATGTCATTTACTAGCACTACTGTTTGTGACAGTAGCACTTTGTAACTTAGGAATTGTGTTTAAAAAAAATCCTAGTTATCCTCATCTTGCTGCACTGCATTGGTAATCTCCAGACAATGAAAATTCAAACGCATGCCCAAGACTAAAATTCTTCTCATGGTAGCAGATTTTAACCTCAACTGCTTCAGGGTGTATTTCCCCTTCTCTCAAAATTTGCAGAGTACCTTCTATTGTGGTACCACAGCACCTCCTAAGCACAGGGGGATGGCTCAGCCTTATTCACAATACATACTCTGTGACAAAGCTGATTACAAGAATTCCTGTAGTTTTTCCTTTGTTTAAGTAAACTGTATCACTTGGTTTCAAGCCATGTAGATCTATCTTTCCCTTTTGCTAGCATCACCCTAAAAAATTAGTATTTACACAGATTCATGGTTAACAGTGTATTTTCCCTGAACTCTTCTGTTTTGGAAACATTCTTTTTTAGCTGCAAATATGGTTGAAATAAGCATATGGAAGAAAACACACTTAGATTTAAATTGATTACTGTCCTGGGTTTAGCAGTGGCAGTCATTTTTCTCTTTCTTGGTAGCTGGTGCAGTGCTGTGTTTTGACTTTCAGCTGGGAACAGAGCTGATAAAAATGATGTTTTGGTTTGGCCAAGGACTTTGTGGGCCTCATGCTCTGCCAGGGAGGAGGGAAGCTGGGAGGAAGCAGAGACAGGACACCTGACCCAAACTGACCAAAGAGGTATTCCATACCACAGCACGTCATGCCCAGGAGGTAACTGGGAGTTAGCCGGAAGGGCGGGGTGGACTGCAGGGTTGGAGGAGGTATCGGTCGGTGCTTGGTCGGGCTGGGGGGAGCAAGTTATCGGTCGCCTGGTGATGGGGTGTTGTATTCTCTTCCCTTGTTATTTCCTTTATCATTACTATT